TGCCGTTTGGGATCCCTAGGAGGTGGGGGTCGTGTTTGCCTTTCAGAAAAGTATGTTGTGTTATTGGCGCTGTTCCCGGTTTTCCCTGTTTCTTGTTGTTGTTTCACGCGTTGTATCTTTCCTCTTCCCACTTTTCACCGCTCGACGGTACTTTTATAGAAGTCTAGAAGAAGAACTGGAAAAACTGTCAATAATGTAGGAAGTTCCGAAACTTGAGGAGCAGAGCAGGTTGTGTGGTGAAGGGAGGTAGTACCAGAGATTAAAGGAGGAAATTCAGAGGCTGGCAGTGATTTCCGAATTTTTCCTCAGCGGCAGGACCGTGGCCTGCTCCCCACTGCCGCCCACGCATAGAACCCCTTCTGCAAACAGTCCAGACCGTAATAGCGGAGGTGACAGTGAGTGACGAGCGCGATGGGGCTGCATAGCCGAAGGAGTGCCACCCGTTTAAGTTGCACCTATCTCTAGGCAAGATATGCCAGCGGTTTTATATCTATAAACGCATTTCTGAAGCACTGTAGTCACTCTATATAGGAAGGATCTTTATACTCTCACTTGCCTATCAGCTCCTCTCATCCTACAGGTTTGCACTCTTGCCGCGCAGCGGGGTCACGCTTCAATGATTACTTCTTGTGAGGTTTTGTTAAGGACAGCTTCATTAGCTTTGCACATTTTTCTCTACACTCCTAAGGCACTTTCCGCGATAAAATGAGGCTGTGGTCTTCAGACGGGCCGGACTGCTATTTTGAAGGCTGTGCTCCTTCAAAAACTAGAAATCGTCAAGTACTCCGTTGAAAGCTGACTAATAGGCCCATGAGCACCCCCTAGGCCAAAGCCGACCCCCATGAGCCACTATGCCTGCAGGTGAGAGTCAGGTGATAAGATAAAAGAGGTGATATCGTTATGAGAACAACGAGTGGAAATTCGTACAAACGCGCGTTTTCTTCACTGCATGCACGTACAAGTTGGGGTCGGCATGTTGTCCTATTTAGAATATTTCGGACTGTTTTTTCTGCTTCTTTTCTCCACTTACCAGTTACCTAGCACTTTCTCGTACATACACTGGAAAACCCCTAATCTGGTGGGCGTGGCTGCGCTTCTCGTACTGAATCGTCGGCATTGGCTAATGCTTTGGTGGAGATGCTTGTCATTTCGACACCACAGCTGTGATAATGTCTCTGTCCAACTACAGAACAGAGACGCCAGTTGTTTCAAAACAGGAAATACCCGCATGAGTAAACGCCTTTCTAACCCATTCTGCGTTATTTCTGCGCTGCGCGTCGAATGCCACGGCCTACTCGCGCTCTAGGGATAAGGAGTGTCAATATGGAGGACTCTGTTATCCAGCGAGTCCTGTGATGGCGAGTTCTGCTTTCAATGTAGCTATCCGCGAGGCGCGGATCGCGCCTTTGTAAGCGTGCTACTTGCCACTACACCACCCTTTGCCTCGTTCTGGTGGTGTACGCTGTGTAGCTGCATTTAAGTAACTTTTTGCGGCCGCTTCCCAGGTGGGATCCAGCGTGGAGTACCTGTAGTACTGACTTTTCGACACTTATTCTTCAGAATGCTGCGGTCATGGAATGCAAAGATCGAAAAAAGGAAGCATCGCTCTTTCCGCTGTAGCACAGTCTGTCTGGTTCCGCAAATAGCCTTTGACTTCTTTCTCTTGGTAGACAAAAGTGCAATAAAAGTCCAGTTCCTTCAAAGAAACCCTCTACCTGTTCTACGGCACCAGCTATCCTCCCCTCTCTCACAAACCCTTTGATAATTACCAAACAAGCTCAGGTTAGTGCGCTCCATGAGTTTAGCCGAAGTGCTCGCTGGCAACAATAAAAGGCTAGGTTTTTGTGGTAGTTTTTATGAAACCAGCAGTAAACTACCTATAGAGGTGTTGGTTTTTTCTTGTTTTTGCTTTCTTACTCGCTATAGTTGTCAACTTGCATTCAGTTGTACTTTCATTTCCTGCCGCTAAGTTAGGCAAACAGCTCATGCTCGTTTGTGATCTGAATACATCTAATAAATGTCTTCGAACTTTATACCTTTTAGAATAGAACTTGAGTTTGTCCCTTCTGCCTCCTCAACCTGCACTAATTGAATTAATTAATTAATTAACAAAAATACGGATATAAACAGTAATAGATAGGTAAATGATATATTTCTTCGAGTGATCGTCGTTGGCTATCGCCACTTTCATACCTAAACATATCTCCCACCCCCTCTCGGGGCCGCACCATGTCCTCTTTATTCCGCTCTGCATGGGTGCTGCAGTCCTGTTCGCTGCGGATGATAGGACGTTTGGGACGTGCCAGTTAGGCTACTTTTGGCGGATAAGTTACATCAGTTGGTGGAAAACGAGTGACACGAACGATATGATACGGTCTTATTGCTTTCTCGCTTCAACAATTGGTGAAAAACGGGTTGGCGCCGTGCCAAACCCATCCCGCCTGATACGCCCCCATCATCCGCAGCGAACAAAATTATAAGTAATCTGATATTGATTAATGATTTTATGTAGTATCTTGATTTTTATTAGCTTTTCTGAAATTTCCTTTCAGTGAATTAGAGGAGGGGGGTGATTCAAGAAAGTCGCTGAGTTTCCCTTTTTGCACGTTCCATTAGACGGGAACTAAACAGTTGTTATGTCCTCCTTCTGTGTCATCAGTATAAATTATAAATTTGCCATAGTCCTAATGCATGTCAAAAGGGTCGGTGCTGGTCTCAAAGGTGTGGCTAATTTCAGAGTTACGCGCCACCGTGAAATATCACTTTGTGTGCTAATTCCCTCGCTTTTTCTGCAAATAATTATTCCGCCGAACGGAGTGACACGCCATTGCAGTTTGTATACGATAATGGGTAGACGTGGAATAGGGGAGGTCAGATTCAGGATGCAAGGATCAATCCATCCAGGGCCGCTAATCGGTGATGGAAGATAAAACAAGGAATTGTACACCGGCTGGCCCACAAGCCATTGCACCTTGAAAGCCAGCTTGGTGCTGAATGTAACTAAAATGTGAGCTGCTTTACATGAGAGGGGTTGAAAAACAGCGGTAGCTCCGCCCTTCATCGTTAAGAGGTAGAATCTCGGTAAAAAGTGAGCCATCCGTAGGTGACCTGATAGTCTTGTTCCTCACAGCTGCCACGTCCTTCAATCTAAGGGGTTGTCAAGGAGCATGATTTGTGGCGCCGACACAACCCTCCAGGGGAAGTGGAAGGCCAAATGGCGGGTAAATGTGGCTGGTTGCCGCGCGCAAACCCAGTCCCTTTGACACACCTTAGCATCCACAGTGCACTACACGCTTTCCAGTTAGACCGAATGTAGCACTTGATATCGCCTCTAGGACAGATATGAGAGTCTCCTTCCCAAACAAATCAACTAATCAGTACACCTACAACGGTAGTATTTATGGAGCACTGAGAATATTTTTCAATCTCCTTCCTAGCTTTGTCCTTTTCAGTCTCATTAATCTGCCGACCTCCGCCCCTCGCACCCCTCCCCACTCCGCTAATATTCCCATGGCGTGCCCTGGGTAACCAAGGGCTGCATTTGCAGGTGCAAATGGCTTGTGGACCAAGGCTAGGTGGCGAAAAATGCGCAAAACTCCTGAGGCACAGTCATTCAAAGATGGCTGTCTGTTTTCCATTAGAATTAGCGAGCGAGCAAAAGGTTCTGTCAGCATCTTATCCATTCCTGAAATAATACATTTGAAGGCAAGAACAGCGGCAAGAGCAAGAACACTGGTGGATGATCGCTGGAGATCGAAAGTCAAAATAGAGGTCCTCACTGGTGCGAAAGCGATAAAAAGGACATGCTAAAACAGCCAAAAACTAGCGAAATGAGGTCTTGACAACTCCTTGATCCAAGGGCAAACTGCCATGAAATAACTTGGAGGGCACTAACTGAACACAAAGCGAGATCAATTGTCGCGGTATAAATCTATGAATTTTTTTAAATTGGCGGCCGCCTTTGTTTTCCCCCCCCCCCCTAAAGTAAGAAACGGCGGCCGTAGAGATCCACTTGGAGCCATGCCCATGCAAGGCGGAGCTGAAGGTCATAGCGGATTCGTGCACGATTCCTTGCAAAACCCGCCCATCGGCTTCACAGTAACGTGGTTTCCCTTTGACTGGAATTACATAACCTACACACCAAGTCAAAATGGCTTACCCAGTGTCTCCTAGAAAAAAGAGAGTTTTTAACAATGAGTGGGATGTATGGTATGATCAGTGGTTTTTACTCAAGGTGTAATGCAGGCAGAAAATGTTAGATATAAGTAAGGATTGGGCGAAACAGCTCAAAAGTCAATATTTCTGGGTCTACATCACACACAACACATTTCTGATTTGGAATTTGCGGAGAACTAGAGCTGCGGGGCGGGGTAAGCGATGGAGAGCGTCAGGGGGCTGGGTTTGGTGCACGCTTGTTTCCTAACAACTGTTGTCGCTTCATCAGTTCTGGCGCCTGGTGGGCCGAGGACGCGATAGACCCATCCCCCTGGCACGCCCCAGTTTTTGCAGCGGAATCGACTGTATATGACTCCATGCATGGTTTGGGTGGCAATTCGTGGGTCGCTTCCTCTCAAGCCAGTCAAGCCTTTCATCCATCTGGGACCGTCTGATTGGTGCTAGACTCATTTGGAGAGGTGAAAACTTTGCCATATATCGGCTGCCTGCCTTGTACCTCTCCCAATCGTGAGAGTCAAATTGCATCAAAAGTCCATGCGACGCTCAGTGGAAGTAGAGTGCATGGAGTATCCTCGGAATGGAGCTAGAAGCTCTATTCCTTTCATCCTTATTCAGTAGTGAACTCCCAGGGCACTGCATGTTTGGGCTGTCATTCAGAAATATTTTTAAAAAAGGTATATACATATATAGAAATCCACTAAATATTCTAAGATATTGGATGTTGTGCGTGGCGCTTTTCTGAGAGTCTATTCAACAACAGTTATCATGATTTAGAATTTTTCTTATATTTTTAATGCAGGTTAATCACTACAATTTCCGAAGCTATGCGGAAAGTAGTGTTGTTATTGCTACTCGGCTATATCGTGGCCCACACCTTTTATTTTATCTACTCCCTAATTCACGTGTCCTACACAAGAAGAGAATTCTCGAAACGGGTAAGTTGGAGTCGGCGCTGTTCAGCTTGGAGGGGGCATTTTGCACTTTAGCTAGTTCCTATTGTGTTCATGTTAACCAACAGGTCTCACTTGGTCAGGTCTGTAAACTTTTGTGGAGCCGCGAAAATTTCCGACTGAGCCGCATTGGTCGCGAGAGTCCACAGATGTTCGTAGCGTGGCCTGTGGTGCCCCCACCAAGCTGAGCTGAGCCTCGAAAAGAGTAGTCGAATCCCATTGGTGAGGACTTACTGAAGATTAATTGAAGGATCTTTCTGATGGCCCATTGGTGCTCAAGGAAGGTGTTGTCGCGAAAAAAGGCAAAGTCATTGCACTTAACAAGAAGCCCAAAAAGAAACCTATCAAAGAACCAGTGCATGTCGGAGGTAGCTTGTCCTTCATTTTCCATTTTTGATTTTTCATTCTTTTTTCGCACTCTGAATGTTTGTCTTCAGGTGCAAAAGCTGCCAGTCTTTTGCGTGGTAAATTTTTAAACAATTCAAGCAAGATTGTCCACCCCAAGAAGACGAGGAAACCTCCATCTCTAGAACCTGAATTCATAAAGGTTAGCAATGATTTTCTCATGATAAGGATAAATATAATATTTCCAAAGACCTGCATCCCAAGAGCAAGCTTACCGATTGCACGCTCCATATCCCGAACACGGGGAGGGCTGGCTGCATGCTTCGAAATAAGTGTAGGATGCACTTTTGTGGGATGTTGCCGCTGAAGGCAACTCGCCCTGTCTTGTGCTGGCCTAAGACATATTCAATTTTTTCTAAAAGGGTAATATTCTACCAAAAGCGCAGCCGTCGCCGCGTTCAAATAATGTGAATAGCCACGCCCTCTCCATCTCCAGGTTTTAGGGAACGGACAGTTCACTGGTCTGAGGCGTTCTTATAGGTAGAGGAGAGCTAATAACATTGACAGGCTTATTTGAAGTTTTTTCTTTCGCAGAGTTAGAGTTATCTAATGGGCATGAGGACTTTGGTCCAATCCCATAGAAAGCGGTGTGGGAGGGGGGGGGGTGAGCTGAAAGGTGGAAGAACAAACTCTTCCAAGTGCAGTAATCCAAATTGGGTGATACTAGTTCAGGTTTTGCGCGAGGTCTTCATCAGATACTCCTTCCAAAGTCACCAGCGGCGGTAGAAAAAAAGCAGCAATTGTCATGGAATGAAGACTAACAGAAGGAAACAACGTTGTGGAAATTAAAAACATCACTGTAAGGCAGTGAAGAATCACCCGTACAACAACAACAAGGAACAAGGGCTCTAGGGGTACAGACAGTTTGCTAGTTTCTTGGTTTCTCCAGTTTCCTCTTCTTTTGTAATCCCAGAAAGTTCGAGTTCCCTACTTTGCTTGTAAGTCCATCTGAATACATCACGACACCGTACAAGAGTTACCGAAATGAGGAATCCAGAAGACTAGTCCTCGTTGCAGCGCAAGACATTTAGCAAAGAAAAGCCAACGAAAATAGACACTCTCTCTTTAAAGTTGAGCCCAACTCGAAATACAAGGTCACAGAAAGGGTTGCACAGAGTATTCATGTAAAAAGGATAAAAAGAAAAGAATCTTTGTCGTTGGGATGAGGCACGCATTCTACTTCCATTCAGAATCGTAGTGGCTTATTGAATGCGATGTGGCCTATACAATGACTTGCGGTGGCCAGCCGATGTACAAGTCAGTGTTTATCCTCCCAGACGAATCTGGTAAGAATTTGTCGAAGGCGTGGCTGCTCTGGACGATAGCCCATCCGATATATGATTCCCAAACCGTGCGCGTGGTAAGCGTGCCACTTGCCACTGAACAACTCCGCCTCTTTCATGTTACGTATCCAGAAAATAGTTTACAACTACCTTGTGATCCTATCCACTTCATATAAACCTGCTTCTTTTGTGACTGCTTTTATACCTCTTTTCAGAATTTCACTGCGGAAGCGAATTCGATGTCAAGTTCGAAGCACCTCATCTATTTTACTGTAGTGAATGGGGCATTCGAGAAGCTGACACTAAACTGGCTGTGCAATTTGGCTATTTTCAAGGTTTGCCTTTAACTTTGATCTGTTCCAGACTTATGAAGCGACATATTTACCTCACAGTGGCAGCTATTGGCTTTTGCGATGATAAAGCAGCTTACAATAACTATCCTACTAATATAATCGGCTATGTCCGTGTGTGTGTGTGTGTGTGTGCGTCT